GATGAACACAGGAAACAGAGCCAAACCATCAATCTATTCATCCATCAATGGATTAACCCATTCATGTTAACAGAAACCTCCAGATGCAATCACTCTCCTTAAGTCCTACCTAGTTCCACCTCAAAGTGGGGATTAAACTTCAGCCTGAGTTTGGGGGTACATTCAAACCATGGCAGGGCATCAGAGAGTGTATGCTTTTAATATGATGCAGCACGGGTTAATCCATGACCCATGCATGGCCAAGAATCCTCTGCCATTGAGTTCTTCCTTGATAGCTCTGTCTCTGCTTCAAATTAGTATAGCTTCTATTGGTTCTATTGGTGTCCCTCAGAACATTCCTTAGCAGGGGCTTCATAGTCTATGTTCCATGGGTTTCCCTTATGAAATAGTATTCTTGCTAGTAGAACTGGAAGTTCAGAACCAATGTGGACCAGTGGTCCCCACCCTAGCTTAGCATCGCTAGCACCCATGTGGCCAACATCAAATTCAATGGCTCAACCCCTATGAGAATGAGGATCAAAAAAATCTCACACTGCCAGAGTACTCAAGAAGCCAGCCTGGCCCATCCTGAGCACCCCTACATGGGAAGTCTAATTTGACTGGTTTATGTCTCAGTACTCTTGTAGGATATTTTGATCGCACTCTGACACTCCTCAGACTTGCCAATAAAGTTAAACCTTGATTCAGGAGGCGGAGCAGGCAATGAGCTGACCAGAACTGGCCATAGAGAAGCCAGCAATTTGAATAGAGAAGATGCACAGGAAGGAAAGGTTGGGGGCTTGAGTTTGGCATTTTTTTTTCTTTTTTTTTTGATTCTGGGACAAGGGAAGAGACACGTCTCTTGCAGTGTTTCTGGCCAAAAAGCAAAGTCAGCCAGTTCCTACTCAACCTCTCTGAATTACCAGGTTTTCAGCCCAGTCTTTGACTCCCGAGTCTTGTTGATAAATAACATGATAGAGACTTCATTGAAACCTACATAGCATGGATGGGCAGACCCAGGGCCACAGGATGGAAGCCCCATCAGGCTGTGACCTGAGTGGCCCTGGTGGTGGGGCCACGGGGCCACAGATGATAGTTAAAGCATCAGTAGATTCATGTGCAGCTGCTGAGTGGACAGAAAAATATCACAGAACCTTGTTACTATGCCTGGAGTCCTCGTGGTCAGAAAAATATCACAGTACCTTGTTACCATGCCTGGAGTCCTCATGGTCACCCATCATAGATTGGGTTTCCTCCCTTCCGACTCAGAACTGCCACAGAAACAAACACCAGCAGCAATGCTGTCGCTCAAAGGGGCAGCATCTTGGGAGAAAACTGTACTATTCTGGTTGTCAGTGAAATGAGTAAAGAAACAAGAAAGACACCCCTAAATCAGTTTTTCAGCAAACAAAAAGCCCCACCACCATTGCTGGCAGTCTGCAGGTTGAAAAAACAAGAAGGAAACAAGGCTCCTGAGGTCAGAGGGCAGATGTGGCGCACATCCTTGAGCTACTCACTCCTTCCAGTCAGTTCTCCTTCAAAATGCCTGTCACCCCTCAGATCTGTTTCCAAGTCCGATAACCACACAGGTAAAGGGTAAATAAAGACCAGCCACACAGCGAGGCACGGCGGTATACAGCTGCAATCCCAGAATTCAGGAGCTTGCGACTGAGGATCCTAAACTGGAGGTCATCCTGGGCTATGTAGCAATTGGGGAGGGGGGGCAGATTTGGCTATGTAGTGGGATCCTGAGTCAAAATTAAAAAAATAAACAACAACAACAAAATGACTACTTGTCTTAGAAAGGGGACCATCAGTATCATCTTTGGGCAAATATTTCTCTTGCCATCATTTGAACAAATACACTTCTGAAGGAACGAGAAACATCTTTTCAAAACATTTCCAGCTCACAGTTACATTAGGCCACGAGGTAATCACAGTCTAAGATGAAGACCATGAACTTAACTGTGCCCTGACTCTAGCCCTTCATATGTTTTTTGTCAGTGGTGTTTGTTTGCTGTTTTAGGCCATCACGGGCTTTTAAAAAGTAATGTCTTAGTATCTCAAAATTCCCCCATTCAAAAGCCAGGCATGGTGGTGCGCGCATTTGACCCCAGCTTTTGAGAGGTGGAGAAGGGGAGATCAGGAGTTCTGAGTCATATTTGGCTATATAGTAAGTTTGAACCCACTCTGGACTACAGGAGACCCTATGTCAAAACACACACACACACACACACACACACACACACACACACACACGCCTGCATGTATGAATGCACACACAGGAACACAGACTGAAAGGAGGGAGCAATCTGGATTTCTGGCATCTCCTACAAATGTCAAAAGTCTGGAGATCTGGAGCTCATTCCCGAAAGCCTCAGCAGTCTGAGCAAGACAGAACCTTTCTCATTTGGGTATGAAATTGTCTCCAAACTTGTTTCATGTCTTCCCCTCTGTGTATGGCCTTGTAGGTGGGTTGTTAACATCTTGGTCCATAAGACATCCCTGATTTGGTCTCCCTTGCTCAAGTAAGAGAATCGCTCCAGAAATCAATACACAGGCAGGTTGGGAATGTTCTAAGAGAAACAAACAATATAAAATAAGGCAAGAGGAAAACTAAAGCCAACGTAAAGAGAACCCAGACTGAAGGGCAGTAGACCAGTATTTAGAAGATGTAGGTTCTAATCCTGGCTCTGCTTCTCTGCTAAGAGCTGACTGCTGCCACATCAGTGTCTCTGTGCTGACTCCTCATCTGTGACCTAAGGAAAGGAGCCACCCACTGTCTTAGTACCTTGTAGATCTAAGACAAGGGTCAGCCGACCACAGCCTGGAGATCAATTCTAACCAGCTGCCTGTTTTTGCACTTTGTGCTAACTAACATGTCTTTTGCATTTTAACTAGCTATTAAAAATCCTATTTAAAATGACCTTTTATAATACATTAAAAAGTCTGTGAAATTCTCACTTCAGCAGCCACAATCAAGATTGGCTGGACACACAAAGCATATTGTCTATGACTGCTTTTGTTCTACAACCCCAAAGTGGGGTCATTACAATACCAAATAGGATCATTGCAAGTCTAAAATATTTACTTACTTGGACCTTTGTGGGAAAAGTTAACTGACACTGTTTGTGATGGCTATTCTTGGTTGTCACCTCGACACCATCTATAGTTATGTGTGAGAAAGGAACCTCAATAGAGAAAATGCCTCCATAAGATCTGGCTGTAAGGCATTTTCTTAATTAGTGATTGAAAGGGAAGGGCCCAGCCCATTCATTGTGGGTGGTGTCACCCCTGGGCTGGCGGTCCTGGGTTCTCTAAGAAAGCAGGCTGAGCAAGTCATGGGAAGCAAGCCAGTAAGCAGAACCCTTCCATGGCCTCTGCATCAGCTCCTGCCTCCAGGTTCCTGCCCCATTCGAGTTCCTGTCCTGACTTCCTTTGATGTTGAACAGTGACCAGGAAGTGTGAGCCAAATAAACCCTTTCCTCCCCAACTTGCTTTTTGGTCAGTGCAGCAATAGAAACCTGAAGACAATGTCCTAAGCGACTCCACAAAACTCCGCAAGAGAATTCCGTATGGATATTAACATGAAACATTCCTCCTGGCAGATTGTGAGGGCTCCCATGACCACGTCCATAGCAAGGTCTTTTAAATATGGCCCAAACCTTTCCATCGACTTCCTTCCATGGAAATATTAATAGTTGCCATGACTTGTTGCTCACATGTTGTTAAGTATTTCATCTCAGGAAAATTCTCAGCAATGGCTGCCAGGAGGTTTCATCATGCCTACCTGTTAGGTAAATGAACCAATCCTAAGACATGATAATCTTCCCAAAGTCAAACAGATGATACAGGAATGTTGGGGTGTCTTTGAGAATAGTGGAGACTAGCAGGAGGGGCAGAAAATGGGGGGCCATCACACTCCTCGACTGGGAGTCTTAAAGGACCGATGGTAGAAACTGGAGTGAGATGTGATGAAGAAGATGTATGTAGGCACAGACAGGCTTTAGGCGGAGGTACTCAATAAGGTGGCCAAGCCACCAGGTCAGAACTCTCTCTGGCATTCCCGTCCTCCTGCAAAGACGTTCTTAGGACCGCCGCTTTGGGGTTCCTGTCCTATTTGATCAGTTTCCATCTCCTATTCTCATCATATAAATGCATATAAATAGCCGAGTGCAGATTTATACCCAAGTCTGTCTGACTCTAAAGCCCTGTTCTCTGTAAATGCCACCGTTACCAATCTCACCTACACTCCCAGCGTGGCTCAGCATGAAGGGAAGGAGAAGGAGCGCCGTCCTCAATTTCCCTCATAAACTCTATCCCTGCTCTTATTCTAAGATTCTTGGGAGTAATATATTCACATATTGGTTTATGTTCTCCTTACACCTTATCCTTCCCCTCAGAAACACTGCCAGAGAAGCTGAGGAGAGCAGCAGTCTTCAGTTCAACATGGGGGTATTTAGTCCTCTTGAAAATAAAACGCTGTCAGTCACCAAGGTCTCCTCACTAATGGCGGGCTTAATGGGGACTTTGAAATCACCTTTTATGTATGTTTGCTGTTCTTGATGGATGTTCGTTCTCATCTTTAATATCCCCACTTTCATCTTTGCAGCATTTTGGGTTTGTTTTTTTTGTTTTGTTTTGTTTTGTTTTTCACTTGCTTAGTTGAAACAAATGTTTTGAATGGCAACTCATTAAGCAATACCCTTGTGCCTTCCAGTAATAAATAACCCACAAATGAAAGAAAAGGACAAGCAAGAAGAAAATCTGAGAGTGGCGAAGAGGAGCTAGAAAGAGGTGAGAGACCCTGCATCACGGAGGCTCCTGGGAGAAAACAACAGAGGGAACAGGCGAAGAGGGCTGTGAGAGAACAAAGACGCGGTCCTTCTCCCAGAGAAATAAAATACAAAATCACCTCATCTACCCCATTCCCCACACCCCACACCGCACCCCACCCCACCCGAGCCCCGCCCAGGATCCAACTGCCACAGTTCCAATTGGAATCCAAATAATGTCTGCGACTTGGGAGTCACTGGTAAACTAGCTCTGGTTTCCTAATCCCAGCAGCGGATGGTCAGGGGTGTGGGGATTTGCAGTTAATTAATTCAGCCACCTGTAGCTCTCATTCAGTGCTGCTCCCTTCCACCTCCGCACAAAGTCATTGGCGGTGCTGAGCTGTTTGGCCTCGGCAGCCTGGCAAGCGCACCGTGGCGAAGCTGTCTCTTTCTTCCTGAGCATCCGCTTCTGTTCTCTCCTCCTTCATCTCCCTCTGCAGAACTTCAAGTCTGTGTTGGAATCCTGTGGGGCATTTCTAGCCCGACTCCTAACGTGTCTGTCTGCAACCTCTTTACTGTGCCAGCTGCAGAAAATAAAACAACAACAACAAAAAAAGGATGACTTCCAGTAAACGAAGGTATGAGTTTAGTTTCTCAAATATAAATTCTCATTGCTTTCAGAGTTAGAGCAGGTTTGAAACAACATCCTCGAGGGATGTTGAAGCCAGCCTGGTAGCACTCCATCACCTCACCTCCACATAGATGTAGAAGCCTGCTGTGTGGAAAGTGACCTCGCTAAGTGCCTCCACAGCTTCCTTCTGTCACACCCAAGTACCATGTTTACAGATCTGCACCCTGAAAAACAGAAATGATGGTCTCTTAGGGGAGTTAAAAATATCACCTTCCTGCTTGTCAGTGTTAAGCAGAAGTTTGAAACATTTTTTAAGCACAGTATTTAAAGAGGCTTCCTTGAGAGACATCAGGGAAAAAAATCACACCGTGTCCATGTCTGCTTGGCAATTCCTTGGAATGGCTCTGGCTAGGCTAACACATGGGGGCCACCACAGGTCAAGCAAAACTCCAAGTTGCCTTCCATTTGGGTTGCAATCGGTGGCCTTTCTAAAGGCTGGATGTCCTGTGTCCCCTGCCTGTTTCATTGTGAAGAGAATTTCAGGCAACATGAAACAGATTGGCAGACAGAAATTATGTCCCATGTTCAGCGTCCTTTCCTCCCCAGTATAGGCCAATCTTCCTCCTCTAGAAATGAGATCATGTCTTCCAAGAGCATGGATGCTGTTAAAGGCAGTGCTGATCTCACCAACTGGTAGGTTAGGAATGCCAATATACCTCCTGTCATCTGTGAAAAGCAAGGCTGCAATGTACACAGTCTGATCCAATGTATTTTGTAACGGCCCTGTAGAAGTTGAAGGACGTGAAAACTGGTGTCTACTAATCAGCATGCTGGGATTGTTATCTGCATTTCAAAGGCTCTCTTGGGATGAGGGAAAAAAAGTTGATCAAGCACAATTACTGTGTACAGCAGTTAAAATTTTTAACTACTCCAATATGTTGGGGCTGAGATGTAATCTAAGCGTAAGGATTCCTTTATCAGCCATTGGGATTTATCATGAACACAAAGCAATTTAGACACGCCTGGTTCTTGCCTGTAAGGATTTTTCTTAAATGGAATTCCTCTCCATGGATACTCATTTGTATTAGTGGAATTTCTTGCTAAGAAAACAAAGCATCTTTCAAAATCCCAGGTTGTTACCAACTTGTCATATTGGAAAGATAATACAATTTCAGCACACTATTCCCTCTCCGGGCAAAAGTTAATGAGATAATGAGCTCAGTTTAATTTCCTGGTAAGGGCACCAATTTCAAATCACAAAGGCCCCAGAGGATGCCAGCATTTCTCCTTCCTTGCCTTCACTCTTGGCACCTTCGGGTTTTTTTGGTGCATTCCATTTTCAAAAGGAAACATGAAGTGTTATGTTACAAGTTTTCTTAGCGCAGCCTTTCTAAACCAGTCTGGTTTGCCCATCTTAGCTGACTCTTTTTTCAGACATCTAGCCTCAGTATGACCTTCTTCATTGAGAGAGAGAGAGAGAGAGAGAGAGAGAGAGAGAGAGAGAGAGAGAGAGAGAGAGAGAGAGAGAGAGAGAGAGAGAGAGAGAGAGGAGAGAAGCTGCAATAGGCAGGGCATTATGGTAGGAACTGAGAATGCCTAACTGAGTAAGAGCCTGACTAGGGCAGCCAGCCTTCTCTAGAAAGTAACACAACCATGCAAATATCCTTGGGAATCATGGGACCCAGCATAATGTTTTTGGAATGCTACAGAGAGAATGTTGAATCCTTCTTGGAGAAATTAGAAAAGGTTTCATAGAAGATATAATTGAGCTGAGCCTTCAAGGATGCATAAGAATATCCAGTATAAAATAAGACACAAATGCTCCCTAACTCTGTGTCTAGGACTGGATGTGTATCAGGAGAGTGAACGGGCAGGTGCATTGTGGGCATTATGAAGAATTTCAGTTCCATGCAAAAGCTTTGTACTTTATCCCATGGCTCAAAACAGTCACCATGCAATTTTCCAACAAAACAACAGCTTTAAATTTATAGTTGAGGAAGAAAACAAGCAGTAATTATTAGAGCAACAAAAAAATGAAGTTAGAGAAATTTGTCAAGAAAGACTCAACTATTGGAAGGATGTTGGAAGGGAAAAGGAGAAGAAAGTATATTTATTAGCCACCATCCTCCTCCATCGCAGTCGGAACAGCTGCCTCAAAGCATATTCATTCTCTTCCCCTCTACACTTCCAACAGTGGCCCAGCCTCCAGGCACACTTTGACTGAGAGCCGGAAACAGATAGCCCCGCAGGCATGCATTTGAATCTCTTTTCATTTTTAAAAAATGAAGACTGGCAGACAATAATACCTCATCAGCTTGGTCCCAGAACACCAGCTGGTGGCCTCTTCAGGGTGACCTGGACAAGCAACAGAGAGCGTGGATGACTGCATTTGCTGCTGATTAAGTCTGAACTCGGGGTTCCTTGAGAAACAGCAGCCAGCTGGAATGTTGTCACCTTCCAACAGCTACCCTGTGCCCATCTTCATTTGGACTGAGAGGCAAAGGCTCACACCTTCCATCAGAATAATGAGTAAAGACACCTACAATAACGAAATCTGCAATTTGTCCTATGGGGGTCCCCTCTCCTTAAGTGTATGTACTGTACATGGTATCATGTCTGAAGAGGAAGAGGATACTTTTTCCTTCCTGAGGGTTTCTTTTAATTCAGGCTTGGAACTGATTTTCTGAACTTAGTACTGCAAAGTCTTCAGGATATTTTAGGGCAAGGGTCTCCCAGCAATACATGAGAATCTAGTGACAAATAATGAAGTCTTTCTTAGCAACTCCTGTGGTTTCTCTGGAAACTGTAGCAAGCTGGATAATGAACCACCACTGCACTGCCCTCTTAGGTCCCAGGTCCTAAACTATTGACTTTGCTCTGTTGAAATATGATTTTACAACACAAAACTCAGCCTTTCAAAGTATATAACTAAGCTGGCTGCAGCTCAGGAGTTGAGTTGATGCTTAGAAATGCAAGGCTCTGGTCCAATCCCTATCATCAAAAATGTACACAATTCAATGGTCTTTAGTATATTCACAGAGTTCTATAAATACCACTATCTAATTGCAGATGTTTTGTGTCCTTCAGATGAAAGCCAGTATCTACTAGCTGTCATTTGTCTTATTCTCTCCTCCTTCCAGCCCCTGACATTTCGCTAACACACTTTCTGTGTCTAGTTTTGTCTAGCTGAATATTTCACAGGAAACAGAATCGTACAGTGCATGTCCTTTCTGTGTCTGGCTTCTTTCACTTAACATACGTTTTCAAAACTCCATCCACATTATAGATCACATCAGCATTTCATTGTTTTATGGTCAAAATATTCCATTTTATATATAATATATACCACATATCCTTTGTTGACTCCTCTGTTAGTAGATACTTGGCTTGTTTACACATTGGGGCTATTATGAATAATGATGCTATAAACATTTTTATATGAGGTTTTGGATCCACATATGTTTTTGTTTCCGTGGGAATGTAAACTTAGGAGCAAAATTGCTAGGTGGTAACTCTATGCTTAACACCTTAAGGAACTGCCAAACTATTTTCGAGAGTAGCTGCATCATTTTTACATTCTCATCAGCAACATTATATGGGTTCCAATTTCTGCACATCATCAACACTTGTTATTATCTGTCATTTTTATTTTAACCACCCTGCTGGGTATAAAATAGTATCTTGTTTTAGATTTGATTTGCATTTCCCTAATGACTAAGGATGTGAGGAACTTTTAAAGTATGTATTGACTGTTTCTATATCTTCTTTGTAGAAATTATTCAAATCCTTGGCCTATTTTTCATGGGGTTGTAACTATTGAGCACTGAGACTTCACATAGTCTCAACACATTCTTTTCATCAAATATTTGCTTTGCAAATGTTTTCTCTCATTCTGTAGCATAACTTTTCACCATATTAAATGGCATTTTGCAGTACAAGTTATTAATTTTTGTTGTGTCCATTTTTTCCCTTTGGTTCTCTGTGCCTTTAACATTATAACAAGGAGGAACTGCCTAATCCAAAATCGCAAAATGCCTATATTTCTAAGCAGATTTTTTGAATATAAGATCTATTTTGAATTAAAATCTCCTATGGTGTAAGGTAAAGACCAGAAACTTAACTATTAATGTGTAACCCATCTTATCTCTCTCCCCCAACATGCATACACAAGCACACACAACCATGCCTGCACCTGCATGGTTTCTCTTCCCTAAAGGCAAGGTGCCTCAGTTAAAATCTCAAGTCCAGTTCTTGAAAACTGAGCATCCTCCTGGACCTCCTTACCTTCCTTCCTCAGCTATAATTTAAGAATAAACATACCTAGCTCATTTGTGTGCCAGGAGAAGAAATCAAAAGAGCCTTTCTATGAAGCAAAGAGATGGCTCATCATCAGTTAAGAGCACTTCCTGGTCTTCCAGAGGACTCAGGTTTGGTTCCCAGCACCACATCACTGCCTGTCATTCAAGGGGACATTGCACCATCTGCAGGCCCCTGTGGGCATTTCAAGCATGTGATGCACATACTTACATGGAGGCACAAGCCCATGCACATCAAATAAATAAACACTGTCTTAAAGGACTGTTTCTACTTTCAAGAAAAGTTTCACTGGAAATGGATTTAGGATTCACTGTGGAGGAAAGGATGGCGAGAGTGTAAGAGCCCGAGGTGGTGGATAACTACAGTGTCTTCTGGCCACAGCAGGGAAGCTGCACATATGAACTCACAGTAGTTATGACAGCATGGGCAAGGCCTGTGCAAGCCCAACCCAGACCAAATTCCTGCAGAGAGAGGGAAATTGGACACAAAGCCCCAACCCTAGCCAAGGAGCTATTGGCAAGTGTTAGCTGCTGGGAGAGAGAGAAGACATTTTCTCTAACAGTATGATACCTACTAAACCCACCATGGTCCAGTGGAAGACCAGACAGCCAAGAATACTTGGGCAGCACAAATGGATCTTAATAGGGAAAAAAAGTGTAAAAGACACAAAGTTGGGTGGGTAGGAAAGGG